CAGATCCCAAACTTCTGACTCTTCAGCATCTTCGGAAGGTAGTGCTTCCAAACGGCAAAAGATTAACAATATTTTCAAAGAGGCACTTCAATCCAAGCAAGTGAAAACACCTAAGGATCGTGTTTCACCTCTCACTTTTGCTTTAGCTAAAAAACAGACTTCAGCCCCAAGTATTCAATCAGCCAAAACTGCCAGTGTTCTGGTTAAACCGAAAGATAAAGTGATTCAACAAATTCTGAAAGACGTCAAAGAGAAAGCACCGCCATCATCTGCGTTAGGTGCATCAAAGTTTGCCCCATTTTCATTGGCTTCATCCAAACCAGCTTCTACACCAGTGATTTCTAAACCAGCCAGGAGGAAAAAGGACAATTCTGTGGCACAGGAACCTAAATCAACTTCAAAAAGTGATTTCCCTACTCCTAAACCTAAATTACTGGATAGTGACATTCTGAAAGCAATTTCCAAACGTGTGGCTGCTAACAAAGACTCTGGACCCATCAGGAAGATTGTCATCAAAACTGTACCAGATAAAAAGATTCAAAATGCACAGGTGCAAGTGCAAAATCAAAAGAAAGGTTCACCAGTCCTGAAACAAATACTGAAAGCTCCTCCTTATCAACGATTTCAGAGTTATCAGTCATCTGGGAAGACAGCCTTGAAAGCTCAACCAGCTGTGAACAGTGTTAAAAACATTTCTGAGAAATTCCCAAACTTTAATGACTATTGTGATTCTTTTGATATTTCATTATTTGATGATATCGTGGAGCAACAGCTAAGAAGTCCAGGACAAGCCAATTTGGAACAAGTGAACTCCAAGTGTGCATCGGATTGGGAAGGAACTAGCGACGGACATAGTCTTAACAGCTCAGGGAACAGTTCCCCCAAACATTCACCATATAACAAGAACCCTGTAGAATTTGACTCATTGCTGTCCGATTCTCAACTGGACGAAGAAGTCTGTTTGTTTTTATCCCCTGATTCACGCTCCCTGTATACTCCAACCCCAACCCGAAAGACCAGATCCTCCAAGAAGACTGTGGGTAGCTGTATACAGAAACAAGTGGTGAAACAGCTACAGAACATTGTGGACAAGTCATACTTACGAGCATTGCGAAGGTCCCCAGTGGAACTTGACGAATCTGGAAAATTAAGTGCCTCCATAGCCCTGAATGCTCTTAGTGGTTCCCTAGATTCAGACAATCTGGTAGTGATTACAGACTCAATTGATAACCTGGTGTCTTCGGAAATTAGCTGTGAAGTCATAGACTCTGGACGTTGATTCAAAAGAACCATTTTGTTTGAAAATGTCCGCTAAGGGAAAAGGGAAAAATTCACGCAACTCTTCAGGAATTGAAACCCCGAGCCCTTCCACCAAAAAACCTGCAGCTGCATCTGCCTCCACAACTCCTTCAAGCATCATCCGTACACGCCATCAAGCAGTCCAGGATGCTAATCCAGATAAAGAAATTCGTAGGAAGCCTACCCCAGGTATAGAATTATTGAAGAAAACGAAAGATGACGCCTCGCCTAAAGGAAGGAGAGGGAGAAGCTCTGGGGTTGAAGACAGTGAAGATGATGCTACACCCAAAAGGAGAAAGCCTGCTAAGAAAGTGGCACAGATGAAAACTCCCAATGTGAATCAAAAACAAACTACTCCTAAATCAGCTTCTGCCCAAAAGGCTACCCCTACTCCAAAAGTTACGACTCCCAAAACTGCCACACCTAAATCAGCTGCAGAGAAAACAGATGCGAGTGATGTTGATAGTCCAGCAGAACCAGTTAAAAGAGGCAGGGGACGTCCTCCAAAGGTGAAAACTGAGGAGAACTCATCAACCACTGTAAATGAAGACACTGAGAACAGTGTCCAAAAGGCGAAAGGAGATTCAAAGGAGGAAGTTAAAGAGATTAATACTGAAGTTGAAGACACCCAAGAAAACGGTACTAGCACAGGCAGCCTGGTTGGTGAATCAAAGGATAAAGCAGCCATTATCAACGAAGTTCCTCAACCAGTCATCAAGAGAAGAGGCAGTCTTCGAGGATCAAAAGATGAAGACAGTGGATCAGATGCTCCAGAAAAGACAGAAACCGATGGGAAATTGGAACAAAGCAATACAAAAAATAATGATAACAAGGATTCAGAAAATCCCATAGAGTCAAAACATCCACAAAGAAAAAAATCAATAGACACTGATCAACTGAAAGAAGCCCCGAAAGGATCTAAACGTCCAAGTGAAAGTACCCCTGAACCTGGTGACAGTAAAAGAAAGAAAGCCAACAATGTGGATGAAGACAAACAATCTCCATCAGTTGTCCCTGAACGTCGAGGTCGTGGAAGACCAAGAAAGCAACCACCAGAATCACCTGTTCCCAATTTAAACAAGTCTCAAAATGCTACAACTGAAGAGGTTACATCCACCACAGTGGCTTCTGTTTCTCAACAGAACAAAAGAGCTAATTTTTCCAAGCTAGCTGCATCCTTTTCTCCAGAAAAGGTGAAAGCCTGGGTCCATAAAGTGAAGATACCCCTGCCAGATTCCACTTCAAGGCAGGAAGCTGTTCAAAGACCTTCAAGAACTAGCTCTCCTAGAAGCCAAGAAGCTAAAAATAGCATCGATGAACTGTTTGCAAGGAAGCTTGCTGAAGCAAAGGGTTTAGCTAACAGTCCAGATCCAAAAATACCAAATATCATCAAGAAGATTGTCCCCCCTTTGACAAATAATGCTCCAGAATCAAAATCTGGAGCTGAAACTGTCAAAAAGCCTGTAAGTGGTACAGAATCCACGAAGAAACCAGTTGATGCAACTGTCAAAAATTCCATTACTGCAACAGAGCCTTCTAAGAAACCACAAACAGAACAGGCAAAAAGTCCAGTTCTAAAAGAACCTGGAACTGAACTTGTTAAGAAACCAGTGGCTGCCAAAGGTGTTGCAAAGAAGACAACTGCCCCTTCAGGACCTGCTAAAAAAGTTCCTGCATCAGAGAGTAAACCCAATTCCAAAGACATACAGAAAGCCACATCAGCCACAAAGGAACCAGATGTTAAGGACATTTCTGATTCTAAAACAAACAAGGAGCCCATGATTGAGGCTGAATCTCACAAGAAGGACACTGAATCCAAAGCTAATTTGGCAGAAATATCCAAGGATTCACCTACATCGAATAGTCAGAAGGCTGCCTCTGTATCTTCTAAGAAAGTGTCTAAAAAGACACCAAAAGCAACCAAAAAATCTACAAAGACCCCTGCATCTTCAACTCCTTCAACATCCAAAAAGCCAGTTTCACCAGATGATCTATTTGATGTATCTGATGATGAAGATACAGATTCTGTTAAAGACTCTAATTCAGATGATGGATCTCTTCCAGACTCCCCTAGAAGCACTGACCGAGTCCTGGAATCCCCTTCCAAAAAACTGGGATTGAACAATAAAGATCCCAATTCCAAAGGGAAGAAATTTAGTTGGGATGATGATGTAATTTTGCAGTCAGAAGAAGAAACAACAAGTCTCCTGGATCCATACACTGGGGAATATTCTGGGAAACTTCAGACAGCCAGTCCACATAAAGATGCATCTACCATGATGTTAGATATATTAGCTTCAGCCTGCTTATCCCAGTCGCAACCCCAACCATCCAATTCTATTCAAGCATCATCAACTCTAACAACCACTATCTCTGCCTCTGTGAGTTCTCCTTTGAAGTCTGCATTGAAATCGACTCTGGTATCTGGAATTATTCCTTCAGCTGTTTTGAAACCTCTTGGACAAACAGCTTCACTGGTTACCCAAGATGATTCTGAAACCATTCAACCATCAGTGGAGAAAGATACATCAAAAATAGTCTTGGAAGATGCAGCTTCTGTAAAGGAATCCACAGTGACAGCTTCAGAAAACTTGCCTCAGCTCATGGAAACAGATGCCATTAGTTTACCAAGGAAACCAGCTGCTTCTCCCATCAAAGTCATGAAGATCGCAGGTCCTCCAAAGTCTGAATTATCTGATGAAATAGGAACTCATGATTCTCTTCGGAAATTCTACACAGTAACTACTGTACCAGTAGACCAAGTTGCTCAGAAGAAGACAGCTAAGAGAATAGGCACCACACAGGTTGGCGTGCCATTACCAACAGTTCCTGCAACCACTACACAACTTAAAGCATATTCAGAAATAAGGAGTCCTGAGGATGCAGTCCTCATTTCACCAGAGGCAGCTCATTTGAAGCAGCCAGTACCCACCTCAGTGGCAAGCAGTGAGCCGTCTCGGCCCAAAGTTGATGTCATCTCTGTGGTTAATGCATCTCTAGAAAAGGAAGAAGAAAATACATGGAATTTGGATAAATTGATCAATCTGTTCATTCAGTGGCAGAATACAGATGCCATGTGTTGGTTGGACGTGGTCCTAGCCATCTTAGCCCACAGTCCAACGTTACAGGAAAAGGCCAAAACTTGGGCCAGTAACCATAAAACCGATTCTCAAATTGACTTGCCAACAGACCCTCTTAAGATGGAAGGTGACTCTCAAAAGGCTGAAGGTGACTCTCAAACAGCTACAGCCGACTCTGAAACAACTGAGACCGACCCTAAGAAGCCTGAAATTAACTCCCAGAACACGGAAGATGACTCCCAAAAGCCAGAAGCTAACGAGGATGTAGCAGACTGTGTGGAAGGGATGTTGAACAAACTGTGCGATGAATCAGTGAGCGTGGAAGACATTTTAAAAACACCAGAAAAGAAACACGTGTCCGAATCTAAAAGTGAAACGACCAGCTGTCAGAGCACGCCAATGAAAGAAGACATTAGTAAGAAATCAAAACTGAAATTCCCAGTGATCATAACTTTGATCAAAGCTCACGAACAAGCCCAATACTTGCTTCAAAACTTCTTACGGAAGCCGGAAGACAACAAAATTGCTGATTCGATCCACAAGGAAGGTGATCTGGTATGCCAGACATCATCAAACCCACAGACTGGTGCTGGAATAAAGATCATCTCTCCCTTATTGACAATGTTACATAAACAACCTGAGGGTGGTTTGCCCTTGGATGCTTTAACGCATCTGGGAGAATCCATCGCTAAACTGGAGGATGTTCGCGAAGTCGTGTGGGACATATTACAACCGAGACTTAAATGTGAAAAAGGGAAGAATGATAGCCCTGTGTTTGCCTTACCTCTGTTGATTAGGGAAAGTGCTGAACTCAAACACATGTTTTCCATAGAGTACAGTCTGGTGTTCCATTGTGCTAAATGTGACTATAGACAAGAGAACAAGTTCCAGAAGGCACTGCCTTCCTTACCTAATGTTCCAGCTGACTTCAGTATGAAAGCACCAGCATTTATTCGGAATTGTTTCCGGTGTGAAGCCCCTGGTCAGAAAATGGAAATGAAAATTCACAGGTATTATTAGATATGAACTTAATGCATGTTTCCATTGTTGGGTATTTTTGTTGGTGCACATCCTTATCCATGGTGTAAGGGTTCTAAGACCCAAGTTCCACTAAAGCTTGATGCAGTTACTCCTCGTCAACTTTGAGCTAACTTTAAATCTCTAGCTGAAGGCCTGATGATCCACAAATTTATGTTCCTGATGATGTGTCATTAAAACGCCTTTCTGGTTTGTTTAAACATGTCATACCACAATTGATAGAGTGGTCCCCTCCCATGTCCAGCATGCCATGTTTCAACCAACCAGAAATCCATTTTACCAGGAAAGAAATGGTGCAGATGAACAGTTCTCTACAGTTATAATGCTCATGCCTTTGAATTTATTTTTTCAGGATGCAAGATATAGCTATGTTACATTTTCTACAAGGTTTACCTAAAGTGGTTTATGATGAACTAGATTTTGAGTTTGAAGGAAGTTTGTATAGTGTAACAGCAGTGGTCCAGTATAAAAACAACCCTGATCATTTTGTTTCTTGGTTGAGAAACCCACAAGGTACATACCAGTATTCAGTTATATTTGGGATGGTTGGTTAAAACTATGTTAATTACCCCCTTGCGCATCCTGGGGGATAAGATCAGATGGCATTACCCTGAAACCTCCAGTAACATGACACTGTATGGCTTAACATATTGTGATGTCACTTGATAATGGCTTCTCTACCAGCCAATTGGCTGTCAAATAATTTATAGCCGCCAGTTTTAAAAGGATCAGAATTTGTGATGGTGGATGGATTGATCAAATGATAGAACTTGATAATGACCTGGCTTCTTATGGATGAAATTTTTGTTGTTTCAGGGAATCAATGGATGGAATGTGATGATTTGAAGTCACCCTTGTGCCAGTTTGAAAATGCACCACCCAGAATCCCACCAGAGCAGATACACATAGTGATGTGGGAGAAGAACATGGCCCTGACTCCATCCCGAGTCTTGGAGAACTCCAAAACAGCTGGGCTGCTCTCCTCTTTGTTAATGTCCACACGAATGGTGACCATGAGTTCAGAAGGTAACAGCAAAGTCTTGACGACTGTTCCCATCCAATACACTCCCGTGACCACATCAGTTGGGAAGCGTAAAGGGGACATGATCACAGTAACTGGTCAGCAAGGTGGAAACAAAATCATCATGTACCCTGCATTGAATACCAGACCCAACATCATCAGTCACGTCAAGGGAGCATCAGCCTCTCAATCAACAGTAACCTCTCCAGCAGCTTCAACAGCTTCAACAGATCCCAGTGCTCTAGCTAAACCAGGAGAATCCATACAGACTATAGGAGGTGAAAAAACTAAAGTTGTCATAGTTGGTCCTAAAAATAATCAAATTCCCCCATCTTCCGGCTCATCTAGTGAGATCAGAACAGTAAGCATTGGTGGAAGAATTGTCAAGCTTACCATTGAACAGCTGAATGCAATAAGGAACAGTCCAGGAGCTCGAGTTTCCATCGTTGGTGCTGAGGGAACAACTACCTTCTCCATCAAAGGACTACAGAATAAGAAACCAGATACGGTCACTCCTAAACAATCTGTCATCAAGACACCAACCAAAGTGGTAGCTCAGACGTCAGCTTCTAGCCTAGTTAGCACCACAGGTACACCAACAATCACTACCATCTCTTCAGGCTCTGAGATTCCACCTTCTTCATCACTTATAACATCTTCAACAGTTCATGTTCCTGTCACACCACAAGGTGACTCTTCAGCCATCACTGTACCCCAGTCTGTAGCCATAGGAGATCAAAATTTGATTGATATCCAAGTAAAAGCACCTGCAAGTCAAACATCAATTGGTACCCAAATACATAATGCTGCTTTAACATCCACTCAGTCTAAAATCATCGTCAGTAAAGGACCAGCAACAACGGTAACCTCTGATATGGGACTTGGTTTGGAAAATCTGGTGGATCCCAAGAAACCATGTAGAGTGGTGGTAGATAGTAAGGGACAGGTAACAGCCATTGCCAACAGAGATGGTACCAAGTTTATTCCACTCACCACTGACAAAAATAAGAACCGTCAAATCCTGCAAGACTTCTTCTGTAAAGATCAAGGAAGTTCTTCTGGAACATCTACAGCTGTCAGTGCCAATTTGTCTGGTGGAAATTTGACTTCTCTGCTGGGTGCCTCGCAACCAGTCACAGTATCTGCTTCTGGAAGTGGCACTCAAGGTCGTACTATTCAAATTGTGACCTCTCAAAGACCAGGTGACTCACCCTCAGTCCGGTCTTTGTTGCAGCCAACACCGAAACCAATCCCTCAACCATCATATTCTTCAGTATTCACCGTCAATAAACAGAATGACGTCAGCAATTTTGAAACTGCCATGGCTGTAGACAGCATTTCCAGCCCACAAAGTCGACAGACCTATCCAGCTTATAGTACTCCACAGTACATTGCTCCAGCAGCCAGAGGAAGGAGCTCCAGAGGCGGAAGAAAGACTACAGCAGGAAGAGGTAGAGGAAGAGGTGTGACAACCACCATCATGCCTATGCCTACACCTGGAATGACCCAAACGGTTCAGAGTCCTGCCCAGCCCACTGGTAAACTTCAAATCACATCAAGCCAGTCTTCATTGTCAGGACAGAAAATAAGCAACACCAACAGAAAAGTAGCCATACCCACGAATAATGGGCACATCCTCATCAATGTACCGGCTGGAAGAACTGTTATGGAATGCCTGAGGGATCCAACAATCGTCAAAACGCTGGTCAAAAAGTTCCCAGGATCCACAACAGAAGGAGTGTCAGCTGGGGCTGAACCTCTCACAATATCAACATCAATCTCTAGTCCAGCAGCTCCATCTCAGACCTCACCTTTACCTCCCCGAGTTCCTGCTAACATCAACAAACCCAGCACCACCTACAGCTCGGAGCTTCTTAAGTACATGCAGAGTCCAACAGGACAACAGACCAGTATCAAAGCTATCAGCGTACCCAAATCACAGGAGAGCCGAATTCATCAAATTCTTCAGAACAGCACAAGCTTACTGCCCAAAAAGCAGGCTTTTTCATCTCCAAGCACCAAAACGGACGTCCTTTCAGCTGCTCTCTTTGAATCTGGAGTCCAAGAAGATCCATCTTCATTCATTGGTAAGAGTTCCCAGTCTGTGATAGTCCAAGGTGTTCCACAAACAGACTTATATACAACCCATGGATTGGACATTCTCTCTCAAGGTGTTGTGGCAGCATCCCAAACTCAAGATGAATTGCAGCAAGCAGCCACAGTCCAGGAATCTTCTCAAGCAGCCATCGAGCAATCCAAATCTCAAGCTTTTGACATACTGACTCAAGGTATGTTAGGAACAAGTGAAGCTCAAGACAGTACCACCACCCAGAGTATGGAGTCCCAAGCAATGAATATCCTGACTGGTGGTATCACTCCACAACCCGCTCCATCTCAAGGTCTGGATATATTGACTCAAGGATTGAATCCTCCACAAGTAGTCAGCTCTCACTCATTGGACATCCTTACCCAAGGTATCACCCCAAATATTCAGCAACAAACTAATAAAACACCCATCATTGCCAAGAAAGAAATCCCCAAAGCATCATCTTTACTCACTGGTGGTACATCAACTGCTAGCATGAAGATTGGCAACATTGGTGCAACCTCTGGACGCAAGTCCATGATCATGTCTCCCACTAAGTCTAGGTTCAAGACCAGTCCATCAAAGCCTGCTACAATTTACACCATCAAATCCAATGGTTCCAGAAGCACAGATGTAGTAGAAAGTACAGCTACCCAGCCAGATGCTTACTCCATGCTGAATCCTTATACTCAGGCGGTCCTCAAACGTAAAGCCACTGAAAGCACTGAGTATACCAGTCTCTTGAAGAAACAGAAGTCAGACATGCCTGGTCACATCATTGCATCATCCAGTCAGAATGTGACGACAGTTTTCCCTGGTGAAACCACAGGATCTTGGAAGTTCATTGGTCCAAATTCTGGAGAAACTGCCAGCATGACTGTACCAGTTCCCATTGAAAATGAAGCAGCATCAAGTGAATATTTGACCCAGCCAGCAGCTGATATGAATACATCCTCAGGGACAGAAGACAGCATCTTTTCCAAATTTGGTATGACTAGTTCTGATGGAGTAGATCCCAGAGAAGCTGAAGTTCTTCGTCAGCTATATGATGCTGTCAGCCAAGCTGGTCAGACGCCGACTGAATCCACCACCACCACAGTTTCAACTGACCCAGGCCTCACTCAATCCGGGGAGACCTCTACCATAACAACCATGTCTATGGACACTGATGCATCAACCACCAGCCAAGGAGTATCAAATCAACTGGCTGGCACTTCTGATGGTCTGGTAGGAACTGGCACTGATGGGAATCAATCAATCTTGGGAACTGAAGCAGCTGAACAACAAATCATTGGATCTGAAGGAACTGAGTCTAAAGCTATTGTGGGTGTAGATGAAAATGGGCAGCAAGTTGTAATGGGAGCTGAAAGTGGACAAGGAGATGCTGTAGCTACTGATGATAGTCAGCAGATTGTAATGGGAATTGATGAACACGGTCAACAAGTGGTGACCATCAATGGACAACAGTTTGTGGTTGGTGTGGACGAGAATGGACAGCAAGTTTTGGTTGGTGCTGATGAGAATGGGCAACAGATCATCATGACTATGGACGGCCAAATCCTGGGAACAGATGGTACCACACAGATTGTGACCGAAACAGCCCCAGCAGATCAAGCTGGACAAATAATGGGAGTAGATGAAAATGGTATGACCACAATGACGGCTGACCAGATCTTGGCTACTACTGGGGGTGACCAGATCTTTGTTGGTCCCAACGGAGAGATCATCAGTCCAGATCAGCTGGTCATTGCTCCAGATGGTACCATCACCTGTCCAGCTCTGGAAGAAATGGCAAGCAGTGGCAATACTACTTATTTGGCAACTTCTGGGAACACGGCGCCTACTTCTGAACAACAAGTGGTCATTGAAGAAGAGGTAGCGACAGTGGCAGAAAATGTGGAAATTTGAGAAAGGATCTTGGTTTAAAGAAGCTGTCATGGAAGACTGACGAAGTATGCAGAATGTAAGCCGGTTTAGAAAGGATTACTGGACTAACACCCATTCAAATTGGTATTATTAACCCTTCAAGTCCTGCTCTGATCTGGTTTAAATTGTGGTCTAGACTGTTATGAGTGTATTTATGTGATGGACACTTGTGCCATGTTGAATTGGAAGTCGACAGAACACATAATAGACAATGTTTCACATAGCTGGGAATGGTTTTAAACTCTTAACTGTAAGGCTTGGTAGTTCTTCTAGTGGATTAATGGATTCTATACCAGTTTTTTGGAATGTTTATGGACTGTTTTCTCTGTTAAGGTGATCTATAGTGACTTTACTGTGTGAACACTGGACAGATTTGGATTAAAGGACTACCTGTTAGCCATAGAGGTATCGAGCTAATGTTAGGGCATTCAAAAGTGTGCCAGGCCTCAGACTATTGGTTGAAACTATCAGGAAGTGCTGTAAATGGAAGAGACTTTGAAGACTGTGTGCTTGCAGGATCAAATATAGCCACTTGGTAATTGTTCTTAGTAATATATTATGTGCATTCAGATTTTAAGATTTAAATAATGGTGGCATTAGGTACCCCTTTGTCTACCCTTAGCCTACCCTTAGCAAAGTGAAAAGGGTGATACTTCGACCACAGAGTCATCAATCGATTCTGCTTTTTCCTTCTGGATCTTTAGGTGGAAAGCCTTTGGCATTTAAACTGGGCATCAAAAAAACAAGCATCCATTTTGTAAATAAGTAATATTCTTTAATATCAATTCATGTCACATTTGTTCAACTGTTTCATCCAAAATTGTATTTATATCATCATAGTCAGTGCTTCACTTTGTTAATTTTGGTGTGTATGGTGTTTCAGAAAGACTGGACTACAAGGCTACATTTTAAACGAAAGGACAAAAGAGTTGTCTTTTCTTTGTAAATTTTGTACATAGAGAACAAATTAAGTGCTATGCTTTGTGCATGTCCTACCTTAGAATACTATGGCATAGCTAATGTAAAAGCTGCAATAGGAAAAGCATAGGTGCTCTATTGCATAGGAACCTTTTGCTAGCATTTTACATGATTAGGGCTGATTTTGAGTGATTAGTCGCACCTTGTAAATAACTTAAATATTTTTTCAGTGCTTTGTCTGCCAACTTGTAAATGCATATTATGCGTGGCACTTTTTGCCAACCTTAATAGAATAGTGTAAGTTCATTTGATGTTTAATGTTTTGTACAGTATTTCTGAGGGCATATTTAAAGTGTATTTCAATGTCAAATTGAGCTCTTTTGCAACCTTTTCTGCCAAAATATCATCCTCTTTAGAATATATTACATGTAAATAGATGTATTTTGACAGGATTAGTTGCAAAATTTGCTCAATTTGAAATTCTAAAAATATGGTTTAATTTCAATTGATTTTTTTGGTAAAGGATTCATTGGGTAAATAACTTGAGTGATTTGAAAGAGCTAATCTATTAATCTTTAATTTCTGGTGGCATGGTTTGTGCTTTCGAGGGTCAATCAATTGTCTACTAATCGTATCCTAAGCTAGACAACTTGTTATTCGCCCATAGAATCTTTTACCTGATCTTGTACATAATGAAATCATATCATTTAAAGATACGTTCCCATTTAAATTTGATACAATATTTTAAAGATATATTCCCATATTAATATTGGCAATTGAATTTAGACTTCATTACAGGGGCACCCCTTAATCTGTCATAGACTCTTCCACACTTGCATATTTTTTTAATAGTTATGATATAGGATTGGAAGAGTTGATTTCCCAAATAAGGGTATGGGAGGGGCCAATCTAAGTCCCCTCCCCTCTTCACTTGTCATAGATTTATCATGTTCATTTATAAATATTTTCATGCTTTCAAATCATGTTCATGTCATGTTATTTTTCACTAATTATGTTCGATGTTCACTTGTTTAATGGTTACGTGTATATTTGTTTTCTAACCATTCAAGATATTCCAAATAAAAATTATATAAAATTATCTTTGTGTGTTTTTCTTCAAATCCTAACTATCAAGGGATCTTTTGACAGTCAGGCATTGAAGTCCACCCAACTGTCAAGGGATCCTTTGAGAGTGAGGCATTGGAGTCCACCCAACTGTCAAGGAATCCTTTGACAGTCAGGCATTGAAGTCCACCCAACTGTCAAGGGTTCCTTTGACAGTCAGGCATTGGAGTCCACCCAACTGTCAAGGGATCCTTTGACAATCAGGGATTGGAGTGTACCCAACTGTCAAGGGATCTTTTGACAGTCAGGCATTGAAGTCCACCCAACTGTCAAGGGATCCTTTGACAGGCATTGAAGTCCACACAACTGTCAAGGGATCCTTTGACAGTCAGGCATTGGAGTCCACCCAACTGTTAAGGGATCCTTTGACAGTCAGGGATTGGAGTCTACCCAACTGTCAAGGGATCCTTTGACAGTCAGACATTGGAGTCTACCCAGCTGTCAAGGGATCCTTTGACAGTCAGGCATTGGAGCCCACCCAACTGTCATGGGATCCTTTGACAGTGAGGTGTTGGAGTCCACCCAACTGTCAAGGGATCCTTTGACAGTGAGGTGTTGGAGTCCACCCAACTGTCAAGGGATCCTTTGACAGTCGAGCATTGGAGTCTACCCAACTGTCAAGGGATTCTTTGACAGGCATTGGATTCCACCCAACTGTCAAGGGATCCTTTGACAGTCAGGCATTGAAGTCCACCCACCTGTCAAGGGATCCTTTGACAGTCAGGCATTGGAGTCTACCCAACTCTCAGGGGATCCTTTGACAGGCATTGGAGTCTACCCAACTGTCAAGGGATCCTTTGACAGGCATTGGAGTCTACCCAACTGTCAAGGGATCCTTTGACAGTCAGGCATTGGAGTCCACCCAACTGTCAAGGGATCCTTTGACAGTCAGGCATTGGAGTCTACCCAACTGTCAAGGGATCCTTTGACAGTCAGGCATTGAAGTCCACCCAACTGTCAAGGGATCCTTTGACAGTCAGGCATTGGAGTCCACCCAACTGTCAAGGGATCCTTTGACAGTCAGGCCTTGGAGTCTACCCAACTGTCAAGGGATCCTTTGACATTCAGGCATTGGAGTCCACCCAACTGTCAAGGGATCCTTTGACAGTGAGGCGTGGGAGTCCACCAAACTGTCAAGGGATCCTTTGACAATCAGGCATTGGAGTCTACCTGTCAAGGGATCCTTTGACAGTCAGGCATTGGAGTCCACCCAACTGTCAAGGGATCCTTTGACAGTCAGGCGTTAGGGTCCACCTGTCGAGGGATCCTTTGACAGTCAGGCATTGACACCCACCCAACTGTCAAGGGGTCCTTTGACAGTCGGGCATTGGAGTCCACCCAACTGTCAAGGGATCCTTTGACAATCAGGCATTGAAGTCCACCCAACTGTCAAGGGATCCTTTGACAATCAGGCATTGAAGTCCACCCAACTGTCAAGGGATCCTTTGAGAGTCAGGCATTGAAGTCCTCCCAACTTTCAAGGGATCCTTTGACAGTCAGGCATTGAAGTCCACCCAACTGTCAAGGGATCCTGTGAGAGTCAGGCATTGAAGTCCTCCCAACTTTCAAGGGATCCTTTGACAGTCAGGCATTGAAGTCCACCCAACTGTCAAGGGATCTTTTGACAGTCACGCATTGAAGTCCACCAAACTGTCAAGGGATCCTTAGAGAGTTAGGCATTGAAGTCCACATTGAAGTCCACCCAACTGTCAAGGGATCTTTCGAGTGCGAGGCATTGAAGTCTACCTGTGTAGTCCATCCGTCTATTAAAGAAACTTGGGCAGGGCATGCTTACCCTTTCCAAACACCTTACCATCTTCTTAGTCTGTTCAACCTGCTTCACTCCAGACCTCCCCATCTTAGTGAGCATGTGTATAGCTCACAAGGTTCACAACAGGCCTGAAGGTGTAGTCTTTGGATGGTATGCCAGTAGTGGTAAGGTTAGTTCTATACTACCCCTTAGCTCTACCTGAATACAGTCCAAAGATTAAGCCTTCAGCAAGAACAGTGAATGACAATGTATACCTTAGATTTTGGTCACCTTACAGACCATTCAATCACGGCTAAAGAGCCCTTAAACCATTCTCCACAAGGAACATCTAAAGCTATTTCTTAACATAAAAATATATCTATTTATATAAAAATATCAACATGGTTAATACACAAATAACAACAGAGTCACTTCCCTCCCAACGCCCTTCTTTTAATCACACATCACAATTCACTATTACCCTTCCCCACCTCTACAAGCCTGTCCCAGCTATAAAACAGGTGCTACAGAGCTGCTTAAAGCACTCTCTAAATTGGTGTAATGTTCTTGCAACAATTTGACTTGTCTTTCGTAATCCTTATCTGCTGAATCTGATTTATTTTTCTGTGTTGCCATAAATTCATCCCAAATTTCCTTCCGTCTTTGTTGTTGATAGACCAACAATGGCTTCTAAAAATAGAAATTAATTCTTGATGGCACAAGTGACGTCATTGATCATAGGGCAGTGACGTCCTTATGCATTGCTCATATGGCATGAATAACGTCATTAAGGCTTGGTCATGTTGCAGTGACGTCATTTAATATTGGTCATTTGGCACAAGAGACATCATTAAGCACTGATCGTATAGCTCAAGTGATATGGCACAAGTGAGACGCTATTAAATTTGGGTCATATGGCTTAAGTATCATCATTTGGCTAGGTGACGTCATAATGCATTTTTCATTTGGCTTGAGTGATGTCATTAGGCATTGATTATGTGACATGACATTAAACATATGACCCAAGCATCGTTAAGCATCATTGGTCATATGGCAAAAGTGACGTCTATACAAATTGAGTCATATGGTGAAGGTGACATCATAAAGTAAGGATCATGTGGCAAGGGTGACATCATTGGGCACTGATCAGACAGCATTCAGGTCATCTTTGACATCACTTGTCAGTTGGCATTAGAATATGCCAGTTTCTAAATACCTAGAGTAAAGGCAACAATTTCTCACCTCAACTTTGCCATCTTTTTCAGCAATTTTATTGATCAATTCTGTGGCTGTAGATACTAAAATATAATTAGACGACATTGTTAACACAAGCTACACATAATTTCAATCAAAAATTCATGTAAAATCACAAGAAAAATATAGACATCCATCATTATGTATTTAACAGTTGCCACACAAAATATCAAGCACATTCGAGGGCTTTCTTTCAAGAAATACTTACAAAATATCTTATAAACATATGCTTGAAAAAAAACTCATGCAAGCAAAACAATTTAATTAACCAAAAATCTCTACAAAAGTATGACAAAATCAAGAGTAATAGTAGTGGATTCCTCAAAAGAGAAGTACCATCAGGTGTTTTTGAAAAGAGTAAGTATGGCCTGCTTTGCATGTGACACTTGCCACTATGTATGGATGTTTGATGATACTTCCTTTGGGGAAGTAATAGATTTGGAAGAACTCCTCCCAAGGAGGAAAGATCTCACTGAGGTTGAGAAGCACTGGCCTAGGCTACTTACTTTGGATGTTTAAGTTAGCAAAGTTATCTTGTAACACATTACAAATTTCAGGAATGGTCTGATTATTGAGTCTGTTAGTAGTTTGATCAATTTGATGTAGTCTCGTATGTTCTCTATCTCCTCTCTTTTCCTACAAAAATACGCTGAGTTACAGCCCTTGTCTTGTCAAAATAATCAAGGTGTAGGCCTGGTTTCATGGAATAAAAATGAAGGGGAGATAGTTCATGGCATGCACGACAAAGCTGTTTGCATTTGCCAACAGTGGAAGCTTTCTTACGTTCCTGTGTTTTTGAATTGAAACCTGACTGCTAGTGAAAGAGGTGGCAATGCCTCCGAATGAGAACTTGGCTAATGAGAAAAGTAATATTGTACCTCAAATTCTTTGACAAAATAATTGATATTTCCTTGTAAAACAGGGCGGTGGTCAAACACACGACTGTACAAGTTGCTTACATCTGAAAAGAGAAAAAGAATGGAAATTAAAATGGCAGCCATAGAAAATTTAAACAGAGGTGGGGGTGGGGGGTGGTGTCAATTTCTGTTTTCTCGGCCTTATTCTCCCAAAATTGGCTTTTAACGGATGTGACAACTACTTCGGGGTATCGGATAGATAGATATCTTGCGAAATTACCTTGAAAAATATGGTCTGCTGTCATTTTTAGGCATAAAAAGCAAAATTCAGAAGCACATGTAAACAAATCTCGTGATTTCTCCTAAGGGACGTTACTCTCTTGTTTTCATTCCAAAACGAGGTGCGCCTTAACTGACGACTTAGTTGGTTGAAATTTTGGAAATTTTCTGTAGAAATTCAAATGAAACTTCAAATTCAGTCAAAATTATCAAACTTGTCCTTTTCTAGTTAGAAATTGCCAGTTCCGCTTAGAATAAACCACAAAAAACAAAGTCAATTTATTTTAAAATTCCCAGTCTTATTTTAGGCGTTCCATGTCACATCTTAACAAATATGGCGGCCGATGTGTTTGGTGATTCGAGTTTATTCTCTGAATTCGAGAAAGACAGAGAAACTGAGAGGTTCTTGGATAATTGCGAGGTGGAGGAGCTAGCACAAGTACCCGAGGATGCCAACCAAGATGAGGAAATGGCTGATGAAGGCGACGATAGCTCAGAATCGGACCCGGAAGGCCAAATTTGTGACCAAGAAAATGCGAAAACGAAAGTAGAATCAACTGAAGCATTCCATTCTTTGTCGACAGAGAACGTTTCCCAGCATAAGTTGATGTTTGAACGCAATAAATATTTGAGTTTTGCTAAGATGATCGATACAACTCGCCATGTTCCTGATGAAGAACCACCTGCAATTCAGGTAAAAGCTTGGCCCTTTATCAAACTTGTATTTAAACTTAAGGATTGTAAAGAGGCTTCTATTTCTATGTGTATCAGGGACACTGATAGCATCAATTTACACCATTCCAATTTTCAATCAGACGTCTGTGGTTCCTGCAATTCCACTTAAGTATTTGATGACATCACTAATTGCAAAATATTCTTAAATCCCTTCGCGATTAGTGACGTCATCAAACACTTATATCCTATTGAAACTTTGGAATCACTTTTGATCAGTTGCATGCAAGCTTGGCGCTAAAAATAGCATGGCACTGAGTATGCGTTCTATCAGATGGTAGAGCAAATGAATACACTAGAATATTCTGTAAGCTGACAGAAGGGCTGACTTTAGAAAGCACTACACATGGCATCAGAAATTTCTTGCCTTCATTAGGATTCCAACCCATAGCACCTAATGTCTTTACAGTAGATGACAATCAGTGATAAAGTAATTCATTAAAAAAATTTTATTGTAGATTCTGTACCAAAATAGCAACTTCTCCAGAAAGCACCGGGCTGAGGTAGAACTTTTCATCCAGCATTTGATGGAAAGAGATAGACAAGAAGAATATGAAAATGGACGCATATTTCTACCAAAACTAAACCTCAAAGCTTCAACGCCAACGGCAGTGGACATCAACAGCGAAACGAACTGCAGAAATGTGGGACGCCCATGCCATTATTGGGAATGCCCAGTTTCACGAAGGATTCATGGTGGATTCCAGAGGTTGGCCTATCACTCCCAACTGTCAGCAACAAGAACTTATCATGGACTTGATCTTATTTGAAAAACTATTCGAGGTTTGTGCTATTTCTTATCATTTCAGATGTAGGTTACCTGTATTGAACCTAAATATGTTAATTGATTTCAGGTTTAACCTATATTGAATAAGGTTAGCTGTATGTTATATTGAATGTAGGTTAGCCATGATGAGGATATAATGAACGGAGGTTTCTTGTATTGAATTTATATTACATAGATTTGTAGGTTTTCCCACCGTGAACCTATATCAAATGTAGGTTACCCACATTAACCCATATAAAATGTAGGTCACCCACATTAAACTTAAACCAAATGCAGGTCACCCACATTAAACCCATATTGAATGTAGTTGACCCACATTAAACCCATATTGAATGTAGTTGACCCTCATTAAACCCATATTGAATGTAGTTGACCCACATTCAACCCATATTGAATGTAGGTGACCCACATTAAACCCCTATTGAATGTAAGGCACCCACATTAAACCAATTTAAGCATATTTTGCGATTAGTGACGTCATCAACCACTTAGTTTTAGTAGAATTGCAGGAACCACAGACGTCTGATTGAAAATTAGAATGATGTAAATTGATTCTATCAGTGTCCCTGATACACATAAAAATTGTAGAAAACCTTTTTACAATCCCTTTAAATAATTTTGATATTTAACAAACCTTTGTCATATTAAATAAAGTTTTTTCTGTATATTTTAGGTGCCTCTACCAGTTGATGAAGCTGATTTATCAGTAGTTAAAAGAGAAAAGAGAAAGAAGGCAGCTTGTTTCAACTGTGATGGGGAACATAACCTAAGTGAATGTCCTCAACCCAAAGACTTTAACAAAATTGGTGCCAATCGCAGAAAATTCCAAGACAGTAAAGTGAACTCTGTGCCAAAGCTAAGTCTTTCCAAAAATTATTCTGATTTCGAAGACGATCCTAGATTCCAGAAGTTTAAACCCGGTCAAATAAGCAATGAGCTTTATTCGGCTATGGGTATTACTCCATCGCAGCTACCCTTATACATATATAAAATGCGGGTATTGGGGTACCCACCTGGCTGGCTGGTCAGGGCCAAGAAAGGGTACTCCTCAGGGATCGTTATCTTTGATAAAGATGGCCGCGAGACCAACCTGAAAGGAGAGACTTTAGAAGACGGAGAGCTCAATGCTGATAGAGAAAAGGAAGAAGATGTAGAATTAGAGAAGATTATCGAGTATCCAGGATTTACCGTTCCACCTGCTGAGGAGGTCCATGATGACCACGAGCGTTTGAACATGCCACCCTTGCAACCACATCAGTTAAAATTAACATTGGAACGGCATGTCAGCGTCAAGGAGGAGTTCAAGAAACGAAAAGCAGAAGAAGAGGCAGAAATGGAGAAAAAACGAATCTGCATCATCAATAAGGAAGCAGACATGGAGATGAGTGATGATGATGATGAAACTTCAGGGAATGATTCAGACTTCAGACCACCCCTGCCAGTAGACACGCCCCCTGGAAAACCACCCTATCCAACGGGAACATCCCCAATTACACCTACCAATGGATCAAAGAAGAATCTCTACCATCCCACACCAGCTAACCTGACTCCGCCTCATTTCGGGGCTGGTGGACCACCCTTGCCGGATTACACCCCTCCAGCAAGACCACCTCTTCCCGAAGGAACACCCCCACCAACTCCCCCTGTTCTCAATCAACGAGGCATATCAGCAGGTTCTGGCAGAAGCGACAGCCCAACTTTCGAGTCACTTCAAAACAAATATGAAGACATACTGAAACAGCTGAACGAAGACAGTTCCTCCCAATCAGACTCTGATGTCAAAATCATCGAAAATCCTGACGAAGATTCCGATGCGTCTGTTATATTTGTTCCGGAACTTGAAAACCAGGAATCGAATGTGTCTGAAGTTTCTGCATCTGATGTTTCTGTTAGAACTTTATCCCGAGCTAGCAGCACCTTGTCTATTCAGTCATTGGACGATTCCGTAATGTCCAGAGGGAGTTCAAAGGTGAAAGTGTATGGAACGCCCATTTTGGAATCATCTACTACAGAAACGGCGCTGCCATCGTCAGAAAACTTCAAAGTTGGAACCGAAGAACATTTAATGTTTGAGAATTTGCCTGGTGCCACTGGAACTTTCTCGAAAATGAGGAAACTATTGGACAAAATAAAAACCAAAATTAAGAAGTGACTGAATACATGTGTAGTGTAGCATCATTCATTTAGGGTGGAAAGGAAATACAAATTCACAAACTATTCATGATGAAGTATTATTTCATATTTCATATTTAAAATGGGTGAGAAAGAAATACAAAGTCACAAACCATCATTTATCATTTTGTAAACAAATTTTTTGTGTGCATTCGCCTTTTGGCTGGTTTAAGGCGGGAGAGAAATACAATTTTTCAAACCTATCAATTTGTTTTAGTTAGTGCTGACCATTATTCAATTAAGGAAGGAATTGAATACATTTCCCTGACCAACCAATTTTGATTCTCATGGGAATTGAGCAGTAAGGCATATTGTCATCATTTTCTGAGAATATTTTAAGGCAGGAAAGAAACGCAAATTCACAAACCAAACCCTTCATTTTATTCGATTTTGCATCTATTCATCAAAATTAACCTGTCTTTGTAGATCATTATTCACAAATTATTCATAAATTTAAATATATGCAAATTTATTCATGGTTGCAATAATACAGTTGCATATATTCATGAAATTTAGTGCTAAATACAAACTTCCTTTGAAAATCATTTAGTTAGACTAAATTTCCGTGTTCATAAATTTTTCACTTTTTCATAATTTGTTATTTGTAAGTGCACTTTGTTCATGAAAATTCATGAGCACTTTTGGCTACATTTGAAGTTAGTATTTCATTTAAAGTTCATCCGAAAGTGCAAATAAATGTATTAAGAATTTTATAGATTTATTGTTTTAAAATAAAACTGTATATATTTCAAAAGAAATTAGTTTTTTATCAACCAGTAACCCTTTTTAAAACCAGATGACTTGATTGAGATTAGTCTTCAACTTATAGAATATTCTCATGCATATTTTTCCTGTTCAGTGAGACCTCTAACTATGATCATATATTCAAAATCATAGCATTGAAACTCCTTTCTCAACCCAGCTGAAAATGGGTACAGAATAAGTCATCTTTCCTCATTATTCCAGTCAACCCAGCTGTAAATGGGTACAGAATAAGTCATCTTCCCTCATTATTCCAGTCAACCCAGCTGTAAATGGGTACAGAATAAGTCATCTTTCCTCATTATTCCAGTCAACCCAGCTGTAAATGGGTACAGAATAAGTCATCTTTGCTCATTATTCCAGTCAACCCAGCTGTAAATGGGTACTGAATAAGTCATCTTTCCTCATTATTCCACTCTACCCAGCTGTAAATGGGTACAGAATAAGTCATCTTTGCTCATTATTCCAGTCAACCCAGCTGTAAATGGGTACTGAATAAGTCATCTTTCCTCATTATTCCAGTCGACCCAGCTGTAAATGGGTATTGAATTTTGCCAGGACAGTGGTATTAGCCTGCTCTTTTTTCTATTTCCAACTGTCGAGGGATGTGTACAGCCTGTAGCAAATGGTGCCTCTCTTACCTGCATCACTGACAGGGGGAAACCGGGTTGAAAAATCTGCAGATATTATCTCGACCTATGCTGGGATTGAACCCTGGACCTTCTGTCTAACTTACTGAGCCACCGCGGCTCCCAATTTGTGATATTTGAGCCTTCAAATCCATGTGTGTCCAGAATTATCTGCGTTTGAATGTTAAAATGATGACTCGTCTTTTCTTGAGACACTGTGATATATAGAAAAGACATCTATAGAAATAGGAAAAGAAATTCCTAGTTTGAGATATTTTTGAAGGAATTATGTGATTTTTGTATATTTCTAGTACTTCTGAAGACTATTTACATATATTCAAAACTCAAATCACCCCCCTGCCCCACAAAAAAAAATGGCCTTTTAATTCAACTGCATATTTACCTCAGAGCACCTGATAGCACATATCATCTGTGATTTTTAACTCTGCTTCATTTTGATGATAAACTTATGTGGACTCTCTTTATGGATTTTTGGTTGGCACACCCAAGACTATTTACATATATTCAAAACTCAAATCACCCCCCTGCCCCACAAAAAAAAATGGCCTTTTAATTCAACTGCATATTTACCTCAGAGCACCTGATAGCACATATCATCTGTGATTTTTAACTCTACTCTGCTTCATTTTGATGATAAACTTATGTGGACTCTCATTATGGATTTTTGGTTGGCACACCCAATCTCAGCATGATATCAGGTGTTACAAATAGGAAAGCATGCAGCTCAGCACAATTTATATATGCTAATAATTTCTTCTTGTTTGCAGCAAATGAAATTTAATATAATTTCTATGGTGGAAATGGGATAGAAAAAAGATCATATTCTGCCCAATTCATACGAAACTATGTATGGTTCTTTCTTGAAAATAACACACACGAATGTAGTTCACAGCCATTTTGAATCTCTTTCTGGACTGAATCTGTCGAATATTTACAAAGGTTACGATATTTCAACAAAGCCTTCAAATCATAAGTTTTTGAAATGGCTTTGAATATGATTGGATTGGAGTTGAAATATTTTAGGCTTTTTAAAAATTTGACTTTAGTTGAAATGAAATGAATGGAGTTTTACGTCCTACTTTTCTGCACCATGTGGGCTAATGAAGACAGGCAACGCCAAGCAGTGTGCAATGAGGGAAATTTTGTCAGGACAGCGGTATATCCTGTTCTTTTTCAATTTCCAACTGTCGAGGGATCTTTAACGTACATAGCCTGTAGCACACGGGGCCTCGGTTTATTGTTCCATCTGAACAAGTAGATGCTCTTACTTGCATCATCAACAGGGGGAAATTGGGTTGAAAAATCTGAAGGTATCATCTCAGCCTATGCAGGGATTGAACCCTGGACCTTCAGGTTTACGTCAAAATGGTTTTGAACTACATTCGTGTGTTATTTCCATCAAACAACCATACATAATATCATATGGATTGGGCAGAATGTGGTTTTTTTTTTTCCCCCATTTTGACAAGGACTTACTCCAGGCTGGATTGGATGAAGAATTAGTTGTGGTCTGACAGTTGTTAGTCCAGACAGAGTTATGGTTACTGATATCCTTATAATTTTTTTTAATAGTTTTTTAACTAAGTGGAAACTAATGGAATAGATACTCATGGAAACTGGTGGAAATTATAGGGACACTGATAGCATCAATTTACATCATTCTAATTTTCAATCAGACGTCTGTGGTTCCTGTAATTCCTCTAAAACTAAGTGTTTGATGACATCACTAATCGCAAAATCCGCTATATCATATAAGGCCTATAAGAGACATCATAAACACTTAGTTTTAGTGGAATTGCAGGAACCACAGACGTCTGATTGAAAATTGGAATGGTGTAAATTGATTCTAACAGTGTCCCTGATACACATAAAAAATTTAGAAAACCTCTTAATAGACAAAGCAAAAAGAAAAATAAAAACAAGCTATCACCTTGGTATTTGTAATTGCCCTGGAGAATTTTCATGCAAAATTTGGGAAATTTTAGAGGAAAAACCATATATCTTAAGTTATTTGAAGATTTATCAGTACTATTTTGAAGGTGATATAAATTGAATCATGGAATTTCATTCAAAATTATGAAGACAAGACCCAGTAGTATATTTCCATTGGGTCATGGCCTCCCCCTCCCTCAGCCCTGTGATAATTTGAAGTGGAGATTAAGCCCTCTAAATGTTCAAAATTCATCTCTGACCATCTGATATCTGTTGTCTTCTGTGGGGACCTCTAGCAGCCCCCG